CAACCGTTCATGCATTCAGGTAACATTACAACCATTCATGCATTCAGGTCACATTACAACAGTTCATGTATTCAGGTAACATTACAACCATTCATGCATTCAGGTCACATTACAACAGTTCATGTATTCAGGTAACATTACAACCGTTCATGCATTCAGGTAACATTACAACCGTTCATGCATTCAGGTCACATTACAACAGTTCATGCATTCAGGTCACATTACAACAGTTCATGTATTCAGGTAACATTACAACCATTCATGCATTCAGGTCACATTACAACAGTTCATGTATTCAGGTCACATTACAACAATTCATGTATTCAGGTCACATTACAACAATTCATGTATTCGGGTCACATTACAACAGTACATGCATTCAGGTCACATTACAACAGTTCATGTAGTCAGGTCACATTATGACAGTTAATGCATTCAGATCACATAGCAACAGTTCATATATTCAGGTCACATTACAACCGTTCATGTATTCAGGTCACATTATAACAGTTAATGCATTCAGATCACATAGCAACAGTTCATGTATTCAGGTCACATTACAACAGTTCATGTATTCAGGTCACATTACAACAGCACATGCATTCGGGTAACACTACAACATTTCATGTGTTCAGGTCACATTACAACAGTTCATGTCACTAGAGTTCATGTATTCAGGTCACATTACAACAGTTCATGCACTCAGGTCACATTACAACAGCACATGCATTCGGGTAACACTACAACATTTCATGTGTTCAGGTCACATTACAACAGTTCATGTCACTAGAGTTCATGTATTCAGGTCACATTATTACAGTTCATGTGTTCAGGTCACATTACAACAGTTCATGCACTCAGGTCACATTACAACAATTCGTGTATTCAGGTCACATTACAACAGTTCATGTATTCAGGTCACATTACAACAGCACATGCATTCGGGTAACACTACAACATTTCATGTGTTCAGGTCACATTACAACAGTTCATGTATTCAGGTCACATTATTACAGTTCATGTGTTCAGGTCACATTACAACAGTTCATGCACTCAGGTCACATTACAACAGTTCATGTATTCAGGTCACATTACAACAATTCGTGTATTCAGGTCACATTACAACAGTAAAATGAACAGAACGCTTGTAAAAACAAAATGGCCACCAGTCTGCCGTTTTGAATCGAATCATGAAAAATGTGCATCAATAACCCACCATGACTGATGTCAATGCCATGTTTAAATATCGGTCAAGGCACTCCAAGGAACGGTTGATGACATGTTTGATTTTGTGATTTTATTCCTTTTTGACAAAAATGGCTGTCAGTCGGATAAATCTCAATGAAAACGAAAAATAACTGAAAACAACATTGCAACAATTCGTGTCACTAGAGTTCATGTGTTCAGGTCACATTACAAAAGTTCATGTATTCAGGTCACATTACAACAGTTCATGTCTTCAGGTCACATTGCAAAAGTTCATGTATTCAGGTCACATTGCAAAAGTTCATGTATTCAGGTCACATTGCAACAGTTCATGTCATGAAAACGACATTTTACCCATAATATCTTGCCTTTGTAAAAAATTTAACCCAAATCTGTACAATCATCTTTGTAAAATGAGCAGAATACTTGTACAAATACAAAATGGCCACCAATCCATAATTTTGAATCGAATCACGAAATAAAATGACGTGCATCAGTAACCCACTATGACTGATGTCAATGCCAAGGTGGAATGAAATCGGTCAAGGCATATCCGAGAAACGGTTGATGACATGTCCATAAGAGGATTTTTGATGTTTTTGGGGACAAAAATGGCCAAAGGTCAACCAAATCAAAAATTATTTGATGTGCACATGTCTCCCATTATGACTAGTCTTTGTACTAGCTTTGAAGAAAATCTGTTCAGGTGACTCTGAGAAATGATGGACGCATGGAAGGACGAACCCAAAACATAAGTCCTCATTACGGACTATGTTCAACAGGGATTAATGAATGTGGAGGTAAGAAAAATGAATAGTGTCTATGTATAAGTATTCATATTTATTCAGTAATTCATTAATTATGCAAATATATACACCACATCTATGAAGTGTAACACATACATCATATCTGAACTAAGTATGAAAAGAAAGTTATTACACATTATTATTTTACCTGATATCATTAAGGAAAGAGTTCCCCAACCCCTAAGTCCATGCCTAATCCTAACCCAATTCAATGTGTATAGATAACTATTGGCATCCTTAGGATTAAAGGGGGAGTACTGTAGGGTAGGGATTGGGTTAGAGTTAGGGGTTGGGATACAAAAGAAACTTTTTGCATAATTAGAATATGATACATTTATGGTATTTACACCCTTCAACATTGTAATAGCGCAATTGTATTCTCTTATTAAATAAAATAAATATGTCATGGTCTGAATTAGTGCAAGTTGTGAGGAAATGTTTGTATTGAAAATTCATATTTCAGTTGATCACCAGCATGTCAGAATACTGGTGATCAAATTGGCTTTCCATTTGGTTGCTTGTCCAACTTTTATTTATGCACACTGTTGAACACTGTAAACCACTTTAGTTTCACGGGGATAAATATTTCGTGAATTTTGCAAATCACTGAAAATTCAAAGCATTGGGTGCCTACAACATTGAGTCTCACTAACTTTTAGGATTTTGGTCTCCACTAAACCTGATAAGTCTTCTAATATATCCTGTAAATAGTGCATATTCAGACCATCAAGTACTTCAGATAATAATCCCAAGATCCCAATAAAGCTGTAAAAATTATCTCAGGGTTCAATTTTGAATGGTCTTGTTCAATCACAGTATGCTATGACATTCCTAAACTTTGAAAAAAAGTTATTTTCTATATTGCTTTGAAAAAAAATGAATTTATAAAAAAAAAAATGTTCTGAAAATATGTGTTATAGTGCCATGAAATTTTTTTTTTTTTTGCTGTGCCTCAACAAAATAATAATAAGAAGTTGAAAACAAATTTAGCTGTTACCGGTAGACTACATTTTAGTATTCTTAACATTATCTTAACATTTCTTCCAGCTGATAAAAGTAGAATTAAATTTTTCACATGGTTAGTATATCAGATTTAGGTTGCTGTACTATGTAGCCACAAAAAAACAAACTTGGGTACATAAAACAGTTTGGCTTACGAGAGAATGTTACGTTTCAGCGGTTTGTGTATGTAGTCTAGTTGTGAGAAGGAAAAATATAAACTTAAACAAATGCCAACTGAATATTAGGAAATAAAAAAAAGAAGGTAATAGGTTGTTCATAAAATAAAGAGTTGGTAATTTGCCAGAAGATTACACTGTTTTGTTTTTTTAAATCAAAATGGCTACCTTGACCATAATTCAGACATTCAATTCCATTTTTTGTTGTCACATAGTGCTGGTTTTCCTGGCTCTTGCACTATACAAAAATCCTTTGTTTTTTAAGTTTGAAATAGCTATTTGGTAAAAATATTGTTGACAATATTAAAATATAGTGTAGCAACTCCAGTCGTAAATTGAGATGTAGTCTTCTTTTAAGAATCTAATCTTTATCTAACTCACAGACTCTTGATTCTCACCCAATTTCTTTTTAATTTTCAGATACTGAAAAATGAAAAAAAAAAAAACATTTTGCAATGAATGAATAAGAGTACATTGTACTCCCTCATATAAATAAATAGTACAGTTGTTATGATTAATCAATACATGGTCATGTAATCAATTATAAATAATTGTCTGCCTGGATAGAATTGATAGTTATTTGTGAATGTGTTGTCAACCTCTTGCATCTCAATACATTGGCATTAATATGCACTCAGGCAGTATGGATCACATCAACTGGCATGGAGGTCAATTCACTTGTACTGTCTGAGTGCATATTTTGCGATATTCCCATGATAAACCTTATTATTATTATACATCTGTCACTGTGCCTTGATTTTATGGTATTGCCCTGGTATTTTCATCTTACCATATTAGGAAATGCGAATTCCAAATATGAAACGATTATGCTTAGATTACGCTTACGATTACGATTAGAGCATCCTCTAATAATAAAAACAAACATGGCAGTTTCCAGGGTTTGACCCCATACAAAGAAGTTCGCCCAATCTGTTCTAAACTTTTTATATTTCGGCATTCCCTTGGGAGGAAAAGATGTATAATAATAAGGTTATTACGAGGAAACCGAAAAGTATGCACTCGACAGTATGCGATCGCATCAACCTCCTCTGTGCGTCAACTGATACTCTTGCTGTACTGTCTTCTTCTCGCTATACTGCATACTTTTCGGTATCCTCGTAATAACCTCATAATATACTGTTTTACTGTATGTACATGTAGGCATAATTTAAGTGAGACTTAACAGTCCAAAATGGCAGTGAAAAGTAATCATGCCTGCATTATCAATTGTGATGTGATTCTATTATGCTACATTATTTCTGCATTCAAAGTAGACATACGTAAATATGACCAATAATTTTTAAATAAGGAAGACAATCGAATGTGTCCATAAAACTTTAAAATAGTATTAGGCATTTTACATACATACATATATATGTTTTTGCTGTGAAATTTACAATAATGTGTCATTATTTACATCAGAGTTAATAATATATAGAACACTACATTCAGAATTGAATTAATAGCAATATTGAGAATGATCAAACAATTGCTGCCCTTGGCTGTGAACAATATCAAAAATTGGTTGTCATTAACCCTTTGAGTACCAAAGTTTACCATCCACAAAATAGTTTCATTTATAGTCTGCTCTTTTCTACATTAAATATTGCAAAAATTTCAAAAAGATTGACATCAAAAACTAGGATCAATGTCACATTACGTCTGTTTGGTCTGAAATTTAATTCAGTGAAAATTATAGAAAATGTGAACAAATTTACCCAAATTCAAACAAGAATTGAGCACTTTTAATGATGATATAGTTCTCAACCAATACATTATTACTTCATGTTATCACACTTACATTTTTTCGGCTGACTATAGCTTGTTGTACCCATAATAACTCCATGGCTACGTTACTTCTTAATTGTTGCAATTCCTTCACATTATCAGATACATTACATCATCTATAGAGTGAGTGAGAAAAACAAAGTTTAAAGACATGTCTCAATACATCATACTTATAGTGCCTGTATTTCTAACATTTCTCATCTACTGAATATATGTTCTCCCCAGGATACAAACAGTGGAGTGTTACCACTCCAGTGCTTTGTTTCACAGCCGTATCAGTCTCACTTTGTCAGTCATCATCTTGACAGTGGTTTGTTTTTCCATTCATTGTTGACTTTTTAAATCAAATTAATAAAAACTGAAATTGCTGAAAACTCATTTGTATTGAATGCAATAAGTTTTGTAGGTGAATAACTGTATAGTGTAATTGTCAATGTAGTACACTAATCATCAAAATTGTTGATTGAAATACTTATGCAAATGCATGCAAATTAGTAAGTACATTTGTACTGCCATATTGATTTAAATTTTTTGTGAGAACACTGTGCAGTTCAATATGGGTAGAAATTCCAGATGAATACAGTGGAAAACTATTAACATATTGGAGTCATATCAATATACAAGTTGTTCAGCCTATATCACTTAAAAAACATGCACTATAAAAAACAATGCAAAAACAAAGATAAGAAGTAAATTCATACATTTACTCCGGTGATCATAATTATTTTTTTTATTATCTGAATCCCAATAGAATATATATTAATCAAGGAAAAGTGAATACAGTTGAACTCGGCCAGATTCAAACATGTCCAGGTAATAACAGTTGCGATGTAATCGCTGTGGTGTGAAGTGGTTGATAGCTGAAGGGTAATGGGTCAATAATTATTGTGTGTTTTGTTACGTTTGAGTTTATTTTATGTATTTATTATTTGTGTAATTTGTAGTTGGGGTTTTATTGAAACGTCATATTGTCCTCGGTCGCATTATGTTGTGTTCTTTTGTCAATTTATCCCTATTTTGCATATTTATTTGTACTGAGTTAGGGAGTCTGCTTTGGCTATAAAAGCCTTTTGTTTTACGTTGATGAGAGGACGGCAATTAGACGGTAAACTGATAGCAAAGAGACTCCAAATAGACGGTAAACTGATAGCACTATAATATTTACCAGTATCACTGACTGGTTTATCAGTTTATTAGGAAATGGGGATTGTTCTTGAACATTGTTAGCTGTCCGGTCTGGCTTGTGTTTTCGTTCCGGTGATGTGTTGGAAGAAGATGCAAGAAGTCCACGTGTGAGCTGAAACTTGGTATGCTTCGACGGAGATGAAAGAATGAAGATTGACACCACCTGGGAGACGTGACAAAAGTTCGAAGACGACGGAGTGACAGGCCAGCACAGAACGAACTCTTTGATTTGATTTGATACGTATTGTTAATTTTGACTGTTTGTTCTTTTTGCCGTTTTTATACGGAAGTCTATATTGGTTGCATGTTACTGCTAGCAATTTTGTTTGAGGTGCGGTGTAGCACACAAAGTTATGTGACATTTAAATAGGACATTGAAAATATACTACCGTTCTATCTTGCACACTGCTTGCGTTCGGGCGTTTTTTTTGTTATACGAGTAGAGTACAAGCGTCTGAACGTAACAGTTTTTATAGTGTCATTTTATTTTCACAT